CAGAACACCCTGGTATATCCAGAATGAAAAGCTTAACGAGAAGTTATGTGTACAGGCGTAGCATGGATAGAGACATCAAATGTTTCATAAAATCATGCAAAGGCTGTACTTTGGCAGCAAAACACTACCAATAAAGTTCAACTCATGGCCAGAAACTGACCACCCATGGTCACGTCAGAATATTGACTTTGCTGGTCCACTTAATGGTTCGTATTATTTGAGAGTTTTTCCAAATGACCAGAGATATTGAGATGTAAGAAATCAACCATAGAACTAGTAATTGGGTTTTTACAATAACTGTTCACGAGATTTGGGGTACTAGATTCTATTGTTTAAGGTAGTGGCACCCAATTTACATCAAAAAAATTCAAGGGATTTTGTAAAATGTTTGTGGTAGAGCACATAACAGTTGCTCCTTACCACCATAGAAGCAACGTCCAGGCAGAGGGTTTTGTGGATAACTTTAAGAGGACCCTAAAAAAATCCAACGGTGTGTCCATGGGTGCAGCATTACAACAGTTTCTACAAGTTTATTGGCTTATGACTCAAATAGAAATTATGTTTGAGTGGAAAATGACTCAAGCTGATAGAAAATTATGTTTACAGTACAAAAAATGGAAAAAATCAAAGTGGTGAAAAGGTTTTTTATAACAAATGGGAAAAAGATATTGGGAAGTTATATCAAAAGATGCACAAAAAAGAATCAAACAAAAAGTAGTAGGTAAAGATAAAGAGAAAGATACTCCAGTGGATGTTGGGCCTATGGAAGTTCTTTTTGATACATTTGATGTGCCCATTCTCGGAAAGCTCCTGAGACAAAAAAATCCATAAAAAGACAAAGTAAGAGGAAAAGAAGGGATACAGAGAGAATTGACATTAACCTGAAAAGGAAAAAATATTGACTCTGGGCAGAGTAAATCTAAAAAGGGCTGGGGAGGGGTGTTATATACCATACCTATGAACACTAATGGGTATGGCCCAAACCTCATAAATATGTTGGACACTATTCTAAGTGGGGGGTAGGTAATATGCTAAGTAGTCCACCACTAGCAGTGGTTTACCTACTTAACGTCGCTGACGAGTATTGTATTTTGTTGATGTTATAAAGATTACCATTTCATTTTCCAACCTCTGATTTGGTTATTCCTCATTCAATAACCCTTTCTTGATTACAACACAAGGGTTAGACAATCAGGAGATCAAACAACACAGATGGGATTAAATCAAATCCAGTTGAATCTGCATACAAAATTAAGGAGTCACTTTCGCCATGGCAATTTTCATTTAAATAAAGATTACCATGGTTTTGGCCAACAAATAAATTTGTCATCATTTTCAGTTGACTTGGTGAGTGTAGTGGGTTGGTATATGGCCATACCCAGTTGTACTATGTTACTAAGCTATTTATAAGTGAATGTGCAGTTTTGATTATTTTAATTAATCCAACTAGGTTCTTGAAAGTAATTTTTTTAATTAGTTCTTTTTCTACATTTAATTTCAATACTTATTAAATGCATTCAAACTTTCATTCACATTTTTCTCTGATTCTGTACCAGAAAACTTGACCCTTCAACATTTAGTTGATTATCAACTGCTGTCAAGCCTCCTTTGAGCTTTATTTGTAGGTCACTATTCACTATGTTACAATAATAAAGGTGGGTGATGAAAAATTCTCATCTCAGCCCACTTTCTAAAATCTGACCATGTGACTTATGGGGTCACTCACATCATACTAGCAGGGATAGCCTTATGTTCATAGAAATAAAAACATAAGAAATAACACTAAAATCATGTTAATTGTAAATTAAAATCATATAATTTTATTTATTTCTGTGTACTGGTGTATGTATGTATTTTGGTTATGTTTTAAAGTTGCATCTAATAAAGGAAGAAAGTTACTTAGTCTTATGACAAGGAAAAAGACATCTTGACTCTTTGAGGGTCCATAGTGAAGAGAATGAATTGGGTGTCTTTTAGGAAGGAAAGCTTTCTGTTGCATGCTGGGAAAACTTTTATTATTTTGGGTTTATCTATTTTATTTTAATCAATTTTAATGTTATTTGTTTTATTTTATTTATGATATAATAATAATAAAAAATTATTAATAATAATATCCCTACAGACTAAAAATCAGAATTTTGGTTTGCCCAAGAAGGTTTTCCACAGCCCTTCATATGTAGACTTAATTATTTTAGGTATCTTAAAAAGGAAATACATTCAAATATACATTTTCTAGTATAGAAAATATGTTACTTGTAACATCCCTCCTCCCCTGGTTAATAAATGCAATTCCGATAATTGTAAAAAATTAAAATTACCAGAATTCATAAAAACCAACATTAAAAATGGGTAATTATCCATTTTTAATGTTGGTTTTTAAGAATTATTATTTAAAGTAAAGAAATGATATAAAAATTTATTTACTATTTACTCCTGTCTTTATGGTAAGTCTGATTGGTTTGATGAAGTCATATTTGCAGCCGATCCCAAAACTGCTGTTAATTGGAGCTTGTTAATTTTAATGCTTCCAAAATGAAACTGCTTTCTTTTAATTGTCTGAGAGAACCGTTTTTGTTTCTCAACAGCATGACTGATGCTAACCTCCAGGAGAGTGACTCATTGTGTCTTCACAGCCTAACGTTTTCCCCAGACTTGAAGGGGAAGGAGTATACAGAATCAACTGCTAGGTCAGCTGCAAGATAAATTGGCTCACCATATTGTGCTAGTCAATTTCTCTTCCCTAAATCTATCTTACACTTATATATCATCCATGCATTAAATATTGCTACCACATATGGTCTGGTGCTTCTGCTATATTATATTTGTCTTGTCTGGTTTTTGCATGTCTGTGTGTTGAGAGTGCTCCCTTGACCGAGAAAAAAATATTGGTGTTATATAGCTCTCCCAGTCCCAGACATGCTGACCTGTCTGATATCGTTGATATGCAAATAGTCAGTGCCACCTACTTTAAGTAGAAGATCTTCTCTCAACAGCTCATTGTAGAAGAGAATGTAATTCCTGGTGCTTATAGCACCACATGCAACCAACTCGGGTTGATCTGATTCTCTGTTATACTTCCCCCTGATATCCTGATCACAGCACCAACGTGCAGGAGGCGGGCATTTCTTTCTGGTACTCCATCACAGGGAGGAGGTACTTCATCCTCATTGTTGCCACCATGTGAGGGAGGTACTTCATCCTCATTTTTTGTTGCTATCCATCTCCATCGCAACAGGATGCGTGTCGAAAACCTGGGAATTTACTTCCAACTCCCCATTGCTCATGGATAATTCATCAGCATTGATTGCAGCAGAGCATTGGTCCCATGCTGGTCTTAACATAATGTGGCATGCCATCAATCAGGACAGATTGTGGACTGATGCTCCCAATGACCTTCCTGATTGTAAATTTGGAGGTATCTTGCTTTTAGGGTGGTTTCACCCACAGCACGTCTCCAACTTTATATGTCTTGTGCTCTGTCAATGGTGTTAGTACAGACACAGCATCAATGCCCTTGAGCCTAACATCATAAAATATGAATTGCATTAGCTGATGCAGTTGGGCTCAACATGACATCCCTCTGCATTTACATTATACCAGTAAATGGTTTCTTGTACGTGACACTGCTTATGTGCTGTAAACTGTTTTATGCTCCTATTTATTCTTTCTATTATCCTGTTTCTGGATGGCACATGCGTACGCCAAAAAGTGCAGCTAGATGCCGCCATCCCTCCATGAACGCTTTGAATAACCTACTGGTGAATGCAGTATCATTATTGGTAATGATTTTGTTTGGTGGACCTCACTCACAAAATATTGACTCAAATTGCTGAATAACACTCAGAACCTTCTTGTGCTATGGGTCATCAAACAGAGAACTGTGTTGGCCTGCAGTCAATCAAAGTAAGGTAATAACTGTGGTCATAATGTATTGTATCCATCTTCAGCCTGGACCATGTACCTCAAACTCCCAGACTTAACATTCTACCAGTGCACCAGTGCCAGATCTATGGACTGGCATTCAGGACAATTCTGAATCACCATCTTGATAGCTGTGCTAGGTACAGAGTGATCGACTCATCTGACAAAGTAGGTTGTGTGCTTAATACCAGGGTAACCACTACGCTGATGTATTTTCATTATTTCACATGCACCCAACTACTCTCCCATGGCAGCACCACATGCTGAGAGGATAGGTTTGGTGTCTTTCTTCAACAAATCTAACCACCTACAACCAACTCTGAGTCTCTTATCAAGTTGACTCGATTCTCTGTTACATATGTATTTAGAAATTCTTGGTAAAATACTATGAAGAATCTGCAATGTTATCACTCCTGACCTGGCATCTCAGATTTAGTCATTTTCCACCTGCCATAATGTTTACTTATGCCTTTCCTATAAATATTTTCACGGTAGTTGTTCTGATGAACTTTCCTCTTTGATAGCTAGACTTTATGAATTTAAGTTCAATACTAGATTGAGGGCAATGTCTCATCATTCTGCAGTTGAACCGTAAGTTCTATGCCAACAGTTTCTTCCCTCACTCTTCTCACTTATAGAACTATCTTTTGGCCACCTGCTTTCCAGTTAACTTTGATCTCCAAGAATTTAAATGCAATGTCAATCATTATATTCTGTCTTCTTAATTTCTGTTCTTTTATTCTCTCTCATTAATAATGTTTTTCTTTTCTCATATTCTCTCACACTTGGTAGCCTCTTGTGTCTTAGTGGCTTTATTACCTTGCTTGGGGTGAAATGATTAAAAAAAATATATGCACAAATATTTTCTTTTATATGCAGTCTGGTTATATTTTGTTAACCTTTTTGCATTTTTGTCATTTTTTTATACAGATGATAAAATAAAAATATGAAAAAAAAAAAAGTTTGCAATTTAAAAAAAAATGTTATCTAGGCTTTCATTTTCTTATTTTATTTTTTTTTTTTTTTTTCTGAATTCAAAATTTTGATTAGTGAAATTATATTTTTTTTTTCCCATACAGAGTTTATCTTTTGTGCAGTTGTTTTCATTATGGTACTGGTATACTTTCCTGATAAACCACCAAGTCCACCCAGTGCATCAGCTGCAGCTCCAAGGCTGGAGTTTAAGAATGGTTTTTTTAGACTCATCAAGTAAGTGTCTAAATTTGTATCAAATAGAATCATAGCAGGAATTTTGTAATGTTCGCAAATTGATCTTGGATTTTATTAATTGTTAGTGGATGGTATTATCTTTGCATTTCAATGGAATATTAATGGATCTTTTAAGTAACTTGTTAAAATAAAACCTATATATTTTGGGTGGTGAGTAGGAAGCATTATAGTGTGGCTGTAAATGTAGGTAGATATCAATAGTCATATTAAATTTTACAAAATAAATCTTTAGAAGTTATTCTCCAGTATTCCATCTCCTAAGCGAAAGTGCCATCCATAGTCACTTGACAAATGATTCATTCCTCTTTTCCTTTATAAATATTATCTTAATTTTGATCTTCTTGGCTCTTCTTTTTCCTTTTTATTAAGTCTTGGTAACTTTATAACATTTTTTATAAAAACTATTTAAGATTTAAGTAAGATTATTAAAAAGATTATTTTGCATATGCATTATATATAAACATTCATCTTATTAGACATCATATTTCAAAGATAAACTTTAAGAAATGTATTAGAAGATTTCTGTTTTCAATATTTTATATATATATATTGAATCAATAGCTTCATCTACCACAAGGAAAGTTGGTTCTCTATGTTATGCCAGAAATTTTTTCTCGTCTGAGTCCATCCTTCTAATCTATAAATCAACCATCCGTTCTTGCATGGAATATTGCTGTCATATATGGTCTGGTGTCCCCGCTGTACATCTCTAGGTCCTTGACAAAATCCAAAGATGAATATGCAATGCGATAGGTCCTGATCTGGCATCTAATCTACAATTGCTATTCCACAGACATGCCGTGGCTTCCCTCTGTCTCTTCTACAAGTATTTTCACAACAACTGTTCTGACAAGCAACTTTCATTGGTTTCCAGACTGCATGAATTTAAGCAAGATACTAGGCTGGCATCTTGGTCCCACCCTTTCACTGTCAAAATGGTTAGATGTAACCATCTCTTCTACTCAAACTGCTTCTTCTCTTTATTTATATATATATATATATATATATATATATATATATAATATTTTCATTCAAACATGTTTCATTGAATAATATAGACATATTGTGTTTACTTATCTTTATACTGATCCTTTCCTGTTGTCCAATCAGTTTCCTGACATTAAGATGAAATTCATCAAGGAAGGTGCCATAGTTTTTTGTTAACACAAGTACCTTTGATCTTTTCCAAGATCATCTTCAGGGGTAAATTACAAAGACAAACTTATTGTAACTGCGATAAAATTTGAATTTTGTTGTGATTGTTTAAAAAGAAACATGAATGCACTCTGTAATTATTTTAAAATTTAAAATTTATCTATTGTAGTTATAGAATTTTTTGCAAAACAAGCATTTTCAATATAAGGAAGCTGACTGGAAATTTCTAAAAATCACCATCATGGAGAGTTCTTGATTTGGGTCTTTGGTTTGTTCAGGAGTTTGAGAGTCTCTAAGTCTTTGCATATTCTCAGCATTGGAAGCTCTTCTGGCTGCCATTTGATTTACATGGGACTTTCTTTTCCTCGATGCAGCCTTGGCTTTTTTGATTGCAATCTTGTTCTCTGTTGGCAGAACTTTCTTTTTTGCCATATAAAATTGGCAACTTTTTTTTTTGCTATATGCAGTAGGCAACAATAAACTACAGAAGAACTCAAAATTGACCATTGCATTTAAGTATTGTATTAATATTTAAACTTACCTTTTAAAAGTTCAATGATAATTCTGCCGCCACTTAATTTAAAGACAATTTGATGTGCACAGTTCCTTACTTTCTGTACAAACATTTTTATTTCATGTGTGACTTTTGCTGGATTTCGCAATTCATTTTGATTATTCCCAAATTTATTTCCAATTTATAAAAATTGTTACCGTATAAAAAATTTTGTTGCAAAAAATCACATTAAAAAATCGCTGAAAACAATCACAGTAATGAAAACTTGGGAATCCAAAATTTCTGTAACATGATGTTAGAGAGTTGTCTCTCTTTAATTGTTTTTATCAGTAGAAGCAAAGATGGTGGAATCCAAAAACAATTGCAGTCATGAAAACTTGGGATTCCAAAATTTCAGGAATCCGGATCTGGCCTGGAATGTTTTTAATTTGCTCACAGCTCGGCCTGATTCCTAAATGGTACAATATATTGGGCTATGTCCTCTAGGAGTAAAGTTGAAAAAGTGTGACACACTGACATTCACATTTATTATATAGAAGTTTTTTCTAAGAATGTGGCACTAATAAAAAATTGTTTCATCAACATTGTAAATTTTTTTCTGGACCTTTTTCCACAAATAATAATTTTAGCAAATATGTTGATGTAATTATCATCTACACTATAAACAGAACTTTTCTTCCCTCCAAATTTTCAGATAAGTTAGATTTTGCTGCCATCTTTTGGATATTCCTATTTGTTTTAAATGCAAGATTCCATTTTCAAGAAATGTACTAAGTTACTAAAGTTTTTTGTTTTGAGAATTTCAAATAAGAGATTATTAGATTTGTTCTTACAAAAAGGAACATCAAAGATTTATCCTTTTAAAAAAAATAACCTTTAAATACATTTTAAATATTTGCAAGAAAAATGTATGCCAGTGCTATCATAAAATGAAATTTAATGAAAATATTTCGGTTAAACTTTTAGGCACATAATAATAATAATAATAATAATAATAATGTTGTCCAATGTAATTAAATTGGAACTTGTCACAATCAGTTTAATTTTCTCTAGAATAAGGTGGATGGCAAGGTACATGTATATAAATATCTGAGAGAAGTTATGTGATCACTCACATCATACCAACACGGATAGTCTCGTGTTCATAGGATTAAAAAACCATACAAAGAAATAACACTTAAAACATGTTAAATTGTAAATTAAAATCATATAATTTTATTTATTTTTGTGTACTGGTGTATGTGTGTATTTTAGTTACATGCAATAATGGCATCCCAAATTTCCAGGAACCGGTTCTATAAAGGCAGGTAATCTTTAGGAATCTATTCTGCTTATTTTCTTTTCAATCTGAAAATGGAAACAAATCACTTTATAGTATCAAAAAGAATGAAACCATTTTGATAATAGAAAACATTTACTTATTAACCTTTAACATACTGGAGGCAAAAATTGTCACTGTAGAATTCTCTTCCTTTGCATGCTGTAGGCACATTCTGTCAAGAAACACTTGTCAAATGTTATTTCCAGAAATAACAGTTGACAAGTGTTTATTTATAGCAACCCTCTTGAGGCGACAGAATGTGCCTACAGCATGCAAAGGAAGAGAATAATTCAAGGCAACATTTTTCACCTCCGGCATGTCAAAGGATAAGATATTTCCAGATTGAAATTCTGTTCTCATCATATTTCTGTTCAGAAGTATGATGCTTTTTGACTCTAGTGTCTATTCAGGTGTGACGGGTAGAATCACTTGCGAGATACTGCTGGAGTCTGTATGTAGAATGTGCGAGCAGGTATTGTGGTTGGAGAAAACTCAGGTAATTGTGATTCTATCATTGTGACCAATTAGGTCGCTTGAACTGGGATGGTTCAGGAAATGAATTGGGAGATAAGACGTTAACATCAGACTTCTGCTCCAAAAAGATCGTGATATGGCACTATCCGTAATAGAGATGCATGTTGATGTAATACAATGCACAAAGTTTGGTGCACTTATAAGCATGCCATTTTGTCATCTTTAATAATCATGTTGACACATTTACAGTGGTTGCAGATGCCTGCTAGCAGAAGTGAAGGGAGTAATGACAACAGGGGATCAATCTTGGTACATTAGACTTAAGAAAGGCCTTCTTACAGGTACACATTCATAAGTCATTGGGACTGTTTCAGATGGTGATGTTAAGTGGCCAAAGGTACTGTCACACCCACCTGGGATTTGGGCTTAATGTGGCACCACTCATAATGGGATCCATCATGACTGCAATAATGTTGCAAGATGAGACCATCAACACAAGGACATCTGTAGATATAGACATCTACATTAATGAATATATAGTGTCAGTAGCATGCAAGACGAAGCATTTAGTGAGGATTAGAAAATGGTGCATGTGTGTTGAGTCTACAGGTCTGTGGGGAACACAGTAAGCTCTGTTGGAAGTGCAAAAGTGCCATTCTAGAAATCCCTGATGTCATCACGCAGCAGCATGTCTTTTCTCTTTGGAAACCTTCTGAGGCATATTCCTGCATGTGGATGCCTCTGGTATGGCCATGGCATTCATCAAATGCACAGTGAATATAATTGCATCAGGATGGGATAATATAATGGATGATCCCCATATGAGGACCACGTTGGAAGATACCATCACAAGGATATGCAAAAGCAACCCAATAAAAGGTACCTGGTGTGTACCATGAGATCATGGTACATACCCAGATCAAACTCACATCAAACAGCAGCCTATGAGATCAGTGTCTAGATCAATGCAAGCTCCTTAGCCAGTGAGGTTTAACTGGAGGTCAACAGAGCTGTTATTGCCCAGCACATCAACCTAGCTGAGTTAGATGTGGTACTACAGGACATTAATCTTGCAGTCAGCAATTGTAGTGAACTTGGTAACTGATTCTGCATGCATACATCAATGGATTTCTGAAGGCCAGGTTGCTCACTAAAGCTGCAAGTCAGATGCTCATATGGCAACAACTCAACACATTTGTAGAGCTTGTTAAGGATTACAGACTTTCCAGTTAATCAAGTCTGACCACAATCTAGAGGAAAAGCTGATTAGTCTCCTACAGCATTGGCTTGATGCCAAGAAGAAGCATTTGTGTTGCCTTGTGTGAATCATTAACTCTTAGCCTGATAATGGCCACTCATCACCAGAGTGATCACCCTGGAGTAAGGCATATATGGTACATCGTGCATCAGGTCAGCCTGTCTGTGTCAAAAAGTGTTGTTAGTGGTAAAATGTGTAAAGCGTGTCAGTCCTTCTCCGTATGATGGTGATGTTGTTGGTTAAATGTGAGCAACATCTGGAGTAGAGTAGGTATGGATGTTACCTATTACAGGGACAAACATTATGTCCCTCTTACTGGCTGTGGCCCCCATCCAATTTGTAGTCTGGCAACCACTGCTTTGACAAGAATCCTCAAGCATCATTTGCCTATTTGAGGCAATATTTTTTGAGTGAGCTTTGCCAGAGGAGATTCTTACAGACAGCAACACTTGTAGTAATCAAGTCCAGTAGTTTTTAGATGAGTGAGAAATTTATCTTCAGCTGCAATGTGCATACATGACATCATGTAGTAGCATAGCAGAGAGGTGCCACGGGAGTGTGAAGCAGATTGTGTCCAGGAAGCAATGCACTGTAATGGAAGCAGCATACTGGTACAATGTGAAGCCAAAGGATAATAACACAACCACACCAGTCAACGCTATGTAGATGTTAGATCCAATGTGCCTTTAACCGACTCGGTCACGATGAATGTTGTTGATTAAACATAATTCTATGCTGCCTTTTAAGTACATCCCTCTTGTTAAGATTCCTAAAAGTCCATAATGGCTCAGTTTCATATCCAAAATATAAACAAAGCAATTTCTAAAGAAGTAATGAAATTTTTATTTTTTAATCTGACATATTTTTATCTCTTTAAATGTTACATATAGTGGATACTGATATTTGAGCAGATGCCCCATTTATTTTTTAATCGGTATATTTATTTTCATTTACCAGCTTCAATATTTGAGAAATCTTATTAAAGATTTGCAGGAGAAAAAGATTCTTTTAAAAAAATAAATAAATAGTGTCTACTCAAATATGGGTGCATAGTCAAGTGGTTAGAGCATTAACCTTCTGACCATAAGACCTGGGTTTGAATCTCCCCCTTGTTAAAGATGTGACTTTTTGATAATATTGATTTGGGGAGACAATTCCAGTGTGTAGAACTGTTTGGAAGTGTCTAAAAACCCTGCCTTGTGTTGACCTGAGCTTTGTGAATGAAATTGGGCAGATGGAACTGTTTGGAAGCTAGCAATCATGACTGAGACTTTAAATATACTTGCTTTACTACTAATCACACAAGATTATTCTCTCTCAGATTCAGTTAGCATTGGTGCAGTATAAATCATAGTTAACTCTGTGGGTGTTGAAGGAACAAAAATGTGCCTGGTCATATTTGGAAATGAGCAGCTTATTATCATCATCATATATGAAGGGGTGCTGAAAAGATCTCAGTGCAACCCACTCCCAGAATCTCACCTAGTGACCAAACATCAGTTTTTTATTTATTTTTTTTTCTGGGCATTTTTGTTGGGCTAAAAATTTTTCAGCATTTCCTTGTATATATAAACTCATTTATTATCCACTTTGTACTAGAGACTTGGGGCATACACACATAATTTTCATTGATAGAAAAAGGGAGAATCTTACAACATGCTATTGTTTTGCAGATATGGAGTGAAGGTGAGATAATCAATTTATATTATTTACCAATTAAAATGACAACAAAAAATAATTATTTCTAGATTTGAATTTTAATTCAGAATGCCTTCCTTTGTCATCATTCCTTTTAAATTAGAAAAAGACAAAGCAATTCACCCCTTGAGCATGCTGTGTTAAAAATCTATTTGTGATTATTTATAAATTTCTTTACTTTTTTGTTTGGATTATTTACATTGTTTGGATTATTGTCATCATATTTGTTGCCATATTTATCACAACGTTTTGACCGTTGTACACTCTGACCTTCTTCAGGCGGTTGGAATGTCGAACTGGGGTACACTGTTCTAGTTCCACGTGTCATGTCTAATGGATGTCAGTTATCAGTTATCTCCTGTTAATTCACCTCTCCAGTTCTCCACCGCCTTAACCAGGTATTGAACTCACAACACTTTGGGTCCTGTCACTGGATCTAACCAACGCCTTTATCCACTGTGCCATGTGTTCTTAAGGACATCTGTGTAGGAATTTCTGGGACTTAATGTCTTTAACAATCATTTTTTACCAGTACTCATATTGCAATATTTGCTGTTATCATTGCATGTTTTTTTACCAGAGCTCATATTGCAATTTTCGTTGTTATTATTGCTTTTCTTTGGCACTCCTTATTACTGGTTCCCATATTGTATTCATTTCTATACTTGGTTGGCTCAGGAGATTTTTGTGGCGTAGCATATGTGCTGATTCCTTAACTTTATAAATTTTCCATTGATGTTCTTTGTCTATGATTTCAACCTGACCCCACAGAGTGCAGTGATCTCCCTTTTCCCTCCATATGTGGTCAGCCACGCGTGATTTTTCCACTTACCCTTGTATGTACAGCTTTCTGGTGTTCTTGAAGCCTTACCTTAAGGGGGTGGCCTGTCTCCCCTTTATATTTCTTTCTGCAGCTGCATAGGATGGCACACACAGAGTTTTTTTGTTTAGGTTTCCAACTGGCTTTTCCAAAATCCTTGTCTGTTTCCGAATATTTTGCATAATTTTTTCTTTTTGTTTTGTTCTTTGTTCTGGTTTAATTCCTTCCATTGTTGTTATATAATTTCTTTCATTTCACTATCTAGTCCAGGGTTTCCCAATCTGGCTGGTATTGCCTACTGATGGATTATTTCACTTGTTCAGTGGACAATAAACAACAAAACAGAAAATGGTTCGCGATATAGGATTTTGAGTTTTAAAAAGGTATTTCAACATAGGCTTTCTGAAAAAAAAAAAAAACATTCATAGGAGATCTGAAAAGAAAATACAAAAATGGGCGGCTAAATGGGAATAACTGAGTCACATTCTTAGTTAAGATAGAAATATTCCCTGCAAACAAGGAATATTTTAGTATTTTCTATATAGTTTTTAGTGATCAAGTTTGCTTTTGTGTTTGTTCTTTAATACATTAGCAGTATCCATGGCAAAAGTCATTGTTATTTGTTACCAATCTTTTGTCTTTTTTACTATATCATAAAGTCATTTTGGCCAAGTAGTTAGAAAGTTTGCTTTCTGATCATGTAACCCAGGTTTGAATCTCAGCCTGATTGATTTGTCAGGAAAGTGACTTCTTCATGTTATTGATCTGAGGGAGGTGATCCCAGCATGTGGCACCCTTGGAAAGTGCCTGAAAACCCTACCACGGGTCAACCCAAGCCTTATGAGTAAAATTGTGTAGACTGAACTCATTCGGAGCTGTTGACGGTTGTGTTAACATGAAGTCACAAGTCATCGTGACCAAGGGTTTCAGCATGCTGGCCTTCTTCAGACAGGTGATCACACTAGATAATGCCCTCTCTCCCAGAAACTGTAACTAAGGTTTGCTCAGCATAGTTGAAGTATAAACCACATGTGGGCTCTGTGAATGTTGAACAAACACAAATATTCCAGAGCAAGCGTCTGCAACGGGGATTAGCTAGCCGCCCTGGTAGACGGCCATCCTCAGGTACAAGAGGCCCGCTTAGAAACCAGTAAGTAACTTTTACCAAACAATGTTGGTTTGCTTTTGAATATTTACTATACTGGTGGGGAGTGGAAAATTTTTCTATATGAAAGTGACTGATGACACAGAAAAGGTTGAGAATCCCTGATCTGGATGTTCATCTCCATTCCAAACTGCAACCTTCTTCCTTTACATGCCATATGTGTGGATGTGTGTCAGGGTATGTAAAAGATGATTTGTATTAATGTGTTTGATTTTTAAATAACACTGGACTCCAAATGACACCTAAGCATTACATCTTGTGATACAACATCACAAATGCATTTCATTAGCCAAACTCTGTTCTTCATTAGACGTACAATTTTTGATAACCTTTAAATGAAAAAATGTTTTGCGTAAAAACTTTTACCATGATTTTAATATCTGCAAGTAGATGAATGTTAGAATTATTTCCCAGTTTTCATCTGCAAGATTCCATTTTGTTGTTTTCATTGTAAATCAGAAAATGATGATTAATATATCCCACTATCATTTGACAGGAATTAAATTTGAAAGATGGAAATTGTAAATGTTTAACTGGAAAAACTAACATAACAACAACATATGTGACTTATCTAAGGATGCCAGAAAAAGAAACTGAAAATTTTGCAATGACAGTAGCAGTAAAATGGGTGGTTTGCTTTTGAAGTATATAAACTTTTTATTTTGATTACATGTTACTTGAACAAGAAAATATTAATGGAAATAGTTAAGAACATCTTTATTTACTACACTGGTCAATATAAAAAGTAACCATTTTATACATTTCAGGTTCTGATTTATTCAAAAGTATCTTTTACCTTTTATGCTGAAACAAAGTGTGTTTGCTTTTGCATGATATAATCATGTAATTTGTTTTTTATTTATTTTTGTCATTTAATATTACCAGTGAATTTTAGCCAAAGATTTTGATCAAATAAAATGTCTTTAGAAAAAAATGCATTCTAGTATATTGTGAAAATTTTCATTTTCAGTATGTAAATCATTTCAACCACTTTTATTTTTGCTGCATTTTTTTCTCTAACTTCTGTAAAAAAAAAAAAAAAAATACAACTATAAAATCATGGTTTTTGAGATTCACAAATAGATATGCCATAAATTTAAATGACTATATTTCATTGAATTTATTACTCTGATTTGTGATTCCAAATTATTCATTTTTTTTAAATTCATTTTCAACAACTTGTTTTTGTTAGAAATCAATGAAATAAAAATAATTGGGTATGAATCATAATAGTAATAAAATATTTTTCTTTCCTTTTTAATTTGCTGTCTGCTTCATAGATTTTAAGAGTATCAAGAAAGCTCTCTCTTCCTGTGTTTAAAATCTTGAGATCTTTCTAGTAAGCAACTTTATATATTCTTAAAAATTATTTTTCAGGAATCAAAGATTTTGGTTAGTTTGTTTGGTTTATGGTGTGGTCAGTGGTATTACAAATGGTTGGCTAAGTGTTCTTTACATCAACTTAAAGCCACTTAATATTTCTCAGGTAACAAATTTATATGGCATGCATACTGCCATATTTTATATTAATGTTTTTTGATTGAATCAGATGAATCAACTTCTACTTCAGATTTATTTTTGCAATTCAAAGTTTGCTAAAAGTAAAAAATTGAAATATTGAAATGTAATTTAGTTAATTTTAAATTTAGTTAATTTTATACTGAAATGTAATATAGTTAATTTTAAAACTTGTATTTGTTTGTGATTTGGTTTATAAACAAAGGCGGTTAAGTTGATGGGTTGTGTGACGGTTACACACCTGGCCCAGTGTCGGATCCTTTGGTTACGGGCGCTTAACGGTGACGTCGCTCCTCCTGGTCGCTCCTCCTGGGTCCAAGCGTGCCGCCCAACCCTTTGGTCAGATGATCACCAGCCTCGCCTTTCCCGACTCGCTTCCAATACCTGGTCACTAAAGCAACTATACCGATCTCCGGTCTGTCTACCCACGCTGTGTTTAGATCTTAGACAGACGGGACCAGCAGGGATCCGGGGCGATACATGTTGAGTCCGACGGGGTGGCAAAACACAAATAAAATAAAAACTCACGACACCAAACAAAATTGTTGATAAAAGGGTAACAACCTTTTATATCTTAAAGTCCGTTACATAAAAAACAAAATTGTTCTCAATTCCCTAACCCGCTCTGTGGACTATGGCACCAAGCTTCTATCACACAATAGGAAAATGTCAATTACCTACTTTCTAGAATCATGTATGTATGTCGGAGTGTGGTTCAGTTCGACACTGGGGCTAATTTCTATCGATCATTCGCAGTTGATTCTTCTCTCCGACTTGAGTTGTATTTCTTCTTCTTCTTCTGTTTAGACTGGTAGATTTCTTGTTTCAACCCAGTGGAAGATTTCTTGCTTCGATTCAGTGGAAGATTTCTTGCTTCGATTCAGTGGAAGATTTCTTGCTTCAATTCGGTGGAAGATTTCTTGTCTTCAACTTGGGCTGGAAGGATTTCTTGTTTCGAGGATTCTTCTGTCGTCCGAGGGTGAACTGCAACTCACGCCCAACCTAACTCCAACTTCAGCTCCAACTCTTCTCAGGTTTTCAGGCAATCTTCTTCTTCATCTACTTGGGCTGGAAGTTCTTCTGTCTTCGACTTGGGCTGGAAGTCCTTCTGTCTGAGGGTTCTTTTGCCCGCAAAGGGGGCGAGTGAATCGGGTCTTATGTCCGCGTTCAGGATCTTCCCCTGCCCGCGGTCCTGCTGCAACTCAGCCCAACTCCGGCTGCATCTCCAACTCTTCTCAGGTTTTCAGGCAATCTTCTTCTTCATCTACTTGGGCTGGAAGTTCTTCTGTCTTCGACTTGGGCTGGAAGTCCTTCTGTCTGAGGGTTCTTTTTGCCCATAAAGGGGGCGAGTGAATCGGGTCTTATGTCCGCTGCTCAGGATCTTCCCTGCCCGCGGTCCTGCTGCAACTCAGCCCAACTCCGGCTGCATCTCCAACTGATTTCTGCCGACTGGGGTCCTGCTTATATTGACGCCAAGAACAAACCGTGGGTGGGTCGGGTCGGCGTCAGGGGTTTTCTCGATAATTTCAAAAGTCGATTAATTTTGACTTTCCATTATCGTTATTGTTTTCACCCCTACTTTCTCACAGTGCTCTTGGTGGGGCGGCGACATATCTATTTCTCTTAGTCTCTCTCATGTCAGGTGATCGCTCTCAACCAATCGTTCCCGATCGAACCTTTCTTTCTCTTCTTTTCCGCAGCCCCACGTGACCGCCTCGTCCAACAGTTATTGATCGAGGTTTTCTTTCCTTCTTCTTCCGCGGTCACGTGATTGTATTCGACCAATTGTTATTGACCGAACACCCTCTCCCTTTTGTTGGCGGGTGTGGTTACCTCGTGCTGGTTTAAAAAAAACAAAATCCGATTTCGCACCTTTTTGCACGTCACGCAAAATGACAATCTTTAGCTTTCTTTCACCTGGACTTTGTCAAACAGCCCGCTGCTAATTAGTCTTGACTTTAGAAAAGGATCTTTTCCGCCTTCTTGGCGCCCTCTGCGAGCCAAAAGCAATTGTCCCTCTTTTTACTTCTTTGTTTTACCTGATAGTCGAAAATCTTAATTATCTAGGTCGAAATATCTCTACTTTCTTAACGTGGGTGTCCAATTCTTAACAGGTCAATTCCAGATATCGTTTTCACCAGTCACTTCCTCAACCCAAAGACACTTTCTCTCTGACTAAAGTAAAATTCATTTCTATTGTTCAAAAAAAAAAAATAAAAATTTCTCTTCACTCCAAATTGATAAGGGGTTTTCTGACGCAAGAGTCGGTCAGAGGCCTCTGACCGACATCTGGTCGATATCATGTCTTTTTTCTTTCTTTCTCTTTTTATTATTTCCAATTCTATTCTTCCTTTGTTTAAAAAAAAAAATAAAGTCGACCACACGCAGACCTATCTCTACCATCAACTGGGTCATGCGTCATACATTTCTCTTTCTTCTTTTTTCTTCCTTCCTTCCTTTTTCTTTTCTTTCCTTCTTCTTTCCTTAGGATCGTCTAGTACATTCTTAGTGAATTATTTTCAACTCAGTTATTTTCCGTTTTTAAAAAAAAAATTAACAACCTGTTTAATAAACTGAATAAGAAAAAATTAACTCATATTTCTATGAATATTTCCAATAAATGCAAGGTGCCATAATGTTGTTTCTTGTCTTTTGACCATTTGCTATCTTGTGTGGTGAGGATGTGCAAGTATCATTTAAAAAATACCTGGCAGGAAATTGTAGTGTGGCTATTGTCTCAGACACAAACTGATAGGTCAGTGGTCAAGGGCAAAGGTTGAGAGGAGATGACATCAGATTTAGATTCTGAGGCAGAGGGCAAGACACTCAGGATATAGAACAGAGAAAAATAACCTCAGTGAAAAATGGAAAGTAATAAAATCATTACACAATTGATAAAGAAAACCTTTTGTTTTGCTATTTTGCACTCTCTATAACACAGCTTTTCTTTCCAAATATTTCACTAAAATCCAGATAAATATTGATTTCTTGCAAGTATTTTTTATATTTTTTTATGCTTTTAATTTAATTATTATCTGAAAGTTTTGGGAGTAAATCATAATTGCCCTAAAAATAATCTTTTTAAGCTCTTATTCCTTTTTTTTCTGCCTTTTCGTTGTAATTACAAAAGTTGGATTTATTTTTTCACACTGTTGGCTTTACATAAAACGTGTATGTTTTTTTTCTTACATGCTAAAACTGAAAAGATCTCTGTAACATAGGAATGACCCTGCATTGATTCCTTGAATTGCTTATGGTGTGTTAATCATTGAAAAAACCTGACTGGAAATAAAGATATGAGGAAATATCTCAATAAGTCCAAAAGCTAACAATGAAAAGATGCATTCATCTTAAACAATTTTTTAAAATAATCTCCTTTTTTTTCTATATTCTTAACACACTGTTTCTCCATTGATCTGATAGATTGAATATTATACAGTGAAAATTTAAGTTCAAAGTTCATGTCAGTTACATATTGAGCCATCCCTGTGTGTAATATATATATATATATATATATATATATATATATTCATGCACATACACAATATTGAACACAGGATTTTTTAAGAAAAAATAATTTCTGTTATTGCTCCTAACCTAAAACTTGGGTTGAATAGATTAAATATTTAAGATAAACAATATATAAAAAGAAATGAAATATTTGCTTACACATAAATTTATTGACAACAGAAAGTGACACAAAATATTTTAACATATATCAATAAATCATATTCACAATTTAATAACTTATTATTTATTTGATATAATGAAACAATTTGAAGTTAGATTCTTTCATAGCCAAGTCATCTTAACAAATTCCCTTAAGAACACTCAAGTGTTGAGGATTTCTCAGAAGTTCTTCCACAGGTTTTCTATAGAATTCACATCAGTTGATTAGGTTGCTTTAAAACCATTGTTTTCTTCACTTAGAATCACTTTTTGTTTTCTCTGCAGTTGCTTTCAGATTGTTATCTTACTGAAAAAAATGTTTTTCTCTGGTATTTTATGATACATAGCCCAATCCAGTGTACTTTGATGATCTGGTGTGTACCTGTACTTCTGGATGAAAGTGTCAAACTAAAATCATACTTCTATCACCATGTTTAACTATAAAAATGGTACTTGAAATGTGCTTTTATGTGCAGAGAGTTCTTTCTAGGAATTCATGAATGAAGTCCTACCTGGTTGAGTATCTAATTCTTGGCCACTTCTGCCTGTAGATCCTTATCAAGTTCTCCTTGAATGGTTTGTGCATTACTTTCTAATAAATGGACGGCTGCTCATTCATTTATTTTATGAGGACATCGTCTTTAAGGCAGATCTGTGTAGTGTCTTCCATTTTCAAATGATAGTTCTTATTGCACTGATGAGGATCTTCGGCTTGTTAGATACATTTCAATATCCCATTCTCTGACTATCATTAAATTTTTTGAGTATTTATTTGCCTTCACCATTATAAAAACCTTCATATGTGGCAGCCAGATTTTCAATGACCAGTCAGAGTGCATATAGACAGGATCAGAATATCCTTCAGGCTAGTATAGCTGACAGCCTAGGGCCCCTCAAGCTTTTATGAAACAACAATTCGAATTTTCTAGATGCTGTAACTTGTAAATAGTTTCATAGACTGAAACAATATCAATATGACAAACTCGTGTTTAATTTGATTGTTATAATTATAACAATTTACTACATTTGTGTTGAAATCTGTACTGATTTCATTCGTCATAAATAGTAAAATAGTGGTATTTCTTAAGGAATATTTTTATTGACAAACGAAAGATAAATATTCTAGTTTATTTAAAGAATTTGCAATAAATTTACTTCAAATTATATAAATGTTGCTAAAATCTATGATGAGTAAAAAAAAAAAAAAATCAAGACTCATGCAGGTGAATTAGAAGGTGGCTCCATTATTTCATAATTTGATTAGCCTAGCGACCCCAAAAGGTCATAATCTGGCCCTGTAGATAGATGTAATTTGTCACTCATGGTGCATTGGTTGATGAAAATGAATAAATAGAATAGAATTCATTCTCTGTCATTAATCTCCTGCCTGCCTGATTTACATTTTCAAAGTTTTTCTGTGTGCTCCTTTATATATTTGTTAATAACTTTAAGGATAGACAAAAATTTCTTGATTTTTCAATTTTTAAGTTTGAAGCAATATTAGAAATTATTTTCTTAAAAATGATTGTTTAAGTTGATTTTTCATGTCACTGTGTTGTGTGCATGAAAAAAAACTAATGAAAATTATTCATTTTTGGATGAGTTAATTCAAACAAAGCATTTGTAACAAGTAATGCTTTATTTTCCTCTATCCAGTATGATGCTGGGATGATGATATTTTATGGTGGCTGCTTTGGTTGTTTGGGAGCTTTTGCTGTTGCAAGGTAAGTAATTCAATAGAGGGAATTATTTTTCAAATGAAAATAGAAATTTCTTTTAATTACTATATACTTTTTATCAATCACTGCATTTTATTTGGGACATGAGAGCTAAAGAAAAATAATCCTGTGGAAAATACAAAATATTTTCTATCAGTTGTTGATCACTGCTAAAAAGAATCAGAATTACTAAAGAAAAAAAAAACTCGGATATTACCATCCAAAATGGCTGAATCCAAAATGTTTTATCCTCTCAAAATTCTAGCTATAAAAATGTTTTTTTTTTTTTTTCAAGATCTTATATTTTGTTTAATGGAAATTTAGAACCAAAATTGTTGACTTTTTTATGGCACTTTCATCATATTAATGATCAAAATGTGTGTATATTTTTCATCTGAACCAGAAATACTTATGATATGATGTTGGACACATCTAAAGAAATAAGTTGAAAGCACGATTAACATTTGAATCAACAGGGCGCCATTATGAAGTAGGGGACAACTGACCTGAAGCAAATCTTTATTGACGTTCTGATTGTTTAATAAGGGAATGAGCTAAGGGAGATAATGAAGATTGTATTTACTCAATACATCACATCTCCTCTCTTGTAGTAATACAAATTAACTTTAAATTTTTGTGAACAATCACAATGGTAGACTAGCTTCATGGTCATTTGGTATTATTCTGGCCAGATGCTTGTGTGATTCCCCATAATGTGCTGTGGTTTGTTGATTACGCGACCACTTCTGGTTACATTTCTCTTATAATCTGGTCGTAGCTCATTTGGCAGTAGCAGCTCAGCTGCAGTTGGTTTTTACTGGATGGGTTCCCAGAGCATTGGTGGTATTCTGGGTTGGAACTGATAATCAGCCTCTATCAATGGTTGTATGTGCCTTCAGTTCCTTCTATAATTATTTCCAGATAGTGTTTCTGTGATGTATGTTTTCAACTTTTTTTTTTTTTGCATTACTCACCAAAACTCCATGCTAGCATACTTAACTGACAGATGTATAGGGGTACCTTAATCTTTTAAGTGCTTAGGGGCCCCTATGAGTCTTAATCTGGCCTTGGACAGGCCCATCTGATCCAGATGTAAAAATTAAAAAATACATAGATTTTTATATGTTAATACCATTTGGTTCATTTAAAATATGTTTATAATTTTTGATTTAATTTCTAAATCCGTTTTTAATGTCATTCTGAGCTTTTTGTACTTTTCTCTCATTTTGGTTTTATAAAGAAAATTTTAAGTTTATAAGCTCCTTAAAACAAAGATTTTTGTGGGACTTGAAAGGTGTCTATGTCCAAATAAGTAATTGTCACTTTTTATAAATTGTGGTTTGGTTTTTCCCTTTACTTCCCAAGTTGTTCAGTTTTTACATAAAGTGAAAAATGAAAGTTTTTCATTTTCAATTTCTTCTCTTTTCCTTTTCTTTCAGGTTGACTGATGTTCTTGCCAATCACATGCGAAAATTCATTTTAGCATTGAATTCACTTTCTGTCTTCAGTCTGATTTGGTTCCAGTTAATATTCATGGAATTTCTTCACGTAGATTTAGGTAAGTTCATTGTCACTTTGATTATTATGTAACAGAAATAACTTGTCAAGCTCATTCTGTGTATGACATTAAATTACATCTGGCAGCAATCGGGAGATCTGGAGGTTTTGAGGAGTGTGGAACCATCTCTTAACTGTTGTTCTCAGGTCTGCCCTGACCCAGGGTGATAGCACCTGTTAGGGTCCCAGCTAGGGGCAAATAGTGATCCCACCAACCAAACAAAAATCGACAGTACATTTTTATAATAAAAAGATCTACAATACAATTTTATAGCAAAAGACAATCAATACAATGCTAAAAAAATATAAATATACGTTTTTATAGTAAAAGTACCAGCAATACATATTATGATTTGAAAAAAACATACATTTACCCTGAAAGCATAAAATTACAAACAAAATTTTGTTGATTTTGACATTAAATAACCCATATGCTGCTAAACACAATCAACCAACCAACTTGTCAAGCAGATCTGCTACATATTTTGTAGAGAATATAAGAATAAATGCTATACTTGTAAATTGATCAGTTTTTTCAAATTCTAAAAAATCTTTAATCCTATAAAGAAGTGCTAAAGGTAGAAAATGGGTTTCTTTTAATCAGAAAAAATATGCTGTCAAATAAAAATTTTCTATTTTAATTTTGATTACATATTTTTTTTTTTCCAGTATCAGTTTATGCTTCTGTTGTGATAAGCTTAACACTGTTAATGTCTGGGATTCCATTGCTATTTGAATTGTCATGTGAAGTTGCATTCCCAGTTGCAGAAGGCATCACAAATGGTATTCTTACTATGGCCAGCAATATTGCCACCCTTCTTTTCCTTGGAATTCTCATGATTCCTAACATTAGTAAGTAGTTTTCTCTTTTCTCATACAATTCATGCAATAGCCTTTAACCTTAAATAATTACCTTCTAAATTACTTTTTGCTTATTGCATTGCTTTGTAAACTTTTCCTGCAATGTTTGCATATAAGGGGGGTGTAAATGTACACAGGTTGTTTTTTCACTTTTATGAAATAAATAATATTGCAAATGTGAGTGAAATTTATTTAATTTATTCAAAATTACTGATTTACTCCTTCTATTTAAGATTTTCTTTTCTTGTGCCAAATGTTATTTAGAGATGGCATAGAATTTAATTTATTAAAGATGAGAATATTGGCATTAATGGTTGAGACCATAATTTGAATTTGGTTTAATGGTCTCATTCTGTGTGTGGTTAGGAATATCCTATTCTATCACGTTAGAAATGGGCAACATAGATTCCAAACATTATGGCAGTCATGCCTAGGAGATAAAAATGGCAAACATTGGTGACGCCTTATGTCCAGCAATTGACTTTGATCTTTTCTTTTTTTTTTTTTTTTCTTCTTATGAGTGGTAGTAGTAATAATAATAGTAGTAGTAAAACAGATATTGAAATAATGTTGACAGGATAAAAAATTGTCTTACACTCAACTTATTTCTGAATAAATAAAAATAAATAGTGTTTTCCACATGAAATCTGATGTTCAGCTAAAGCAAGAATCAATTGACAAATTTTACTTTCTGAGCTTTTCTGGCCACTAGCTATTCTCCCATCTTTAAATACTATTTACTTTCTAAATATGATGGCACTTAGCATTCTATTAGGAATACAGTCAATAACTAGCTCCTCTTCCTTTAAACTGTTTTGGCACATAACCCTGCTGACACTTCTTGATTCATTTTTTAGTTGATCTCTTTGTGTAATTTAATCAAATCAAATTCTTCATTATACATGACTAGTGCAATATTTTGATATTTATACAAGGTTTGTATTTTACATAAACTTCAGTTAATAATAAATTATAAAAAAAAACATATCAATGTGATATCTACTGTAATATATAATAATTGCATTAATTTTCTTCTCTTTTCTTCTCAGGTACATCTTGGATGAATTGGGTAATGTTGGTTTCAGACTGTATCACAATACCAGCTCTTCTTACTCTAAAAGATGATTTTTCACGACTACAGCTTGATAATGTAGAAATATAGCTTAAATTCAGACAACAAAACAAACAAAAGATGAATCAACTCACAACTGCTAGTGGCAGACCTATTTCAAGAATTTTAAGATACTATTTAATGGAAGAATTATTAGATTTGTGATTGAAGTTTTAGAATGATATTTCTCATTCAAAATATTGAGCATAATTCGTTATGTAAAAATGAAATTTTATTTTCAGGTTGAAAAGATCTTAAACTTTGCTGCAGAACCTTCCATTTTTTAAAAATTTATTTTACTCAAAAAGCAGAAACGTCTTTTAAAAAAAATGCAAAACAAAGCAAATCATATTTTGATTACATGACCACATCCGAGTAATTTTCTTTTTTTCTTCAACAAAATTTTTTAAAAAGGTTAATGTACATTTCATTCCCTCTTTTTGTCTTTTTAATCATTTCTTTTTCCTTATTTGGATTATTGATATTTAGAACAATGACAATTCTTTGTAGAATTGTTATTTTATAATCTCTTTATTAAATGATGTTCTTGTTATCATAGATTGAAGTTTGAAAATTATTTAGAAAAAAATCCTTGTAGGTAATCAAAAGTGCCTGTTGCAGTGCATTGGTTAGCAGACTTGTTATTGCCAGTGAATTTGGTCCTCACTAAGTGATAATTGTGACCATGTGCTGGACTAAAGCATAGGAAGTGTCTATTATGTGAATGTACTAAACTGAAATTACAAGTAGAGATCCACGGTGAAACAAATACGATATTTACTGAAATGAAGCTACACTTGACAAAATATGCCTAAAGAATTAACAGATTTCTTGAATCAATTTCCACAATGAAATTTCATTTTAAAACTCCCGTAACTTGATTCTTTTAAACAAGAGCTTTTACTGATTCATCTGAAAAGAAGAAAGTTGATATTATTACTTGTGATGACACAGTGCAATATCTTGATTAACAAGGTCGTTTTTCTTATTGCCATTATATTTGTTTTCTATCCTTTTAGTTATTAAAATATGCTTAATAGAATTGCTCATCTTTAAGCTGCTTCCTGCAATAATGTATATAAGTGTATGGCATATGTCAATATACATTTTATATGGTGCATATGTATTACACATAAACTTTCAAAGACACTTCTGAAAATCAAACTAAAGTACTGATTATTACCGGTGAAAGAAATTGCCAAATGGTGACGCTAATATGTCTTTTAAATATGCAAACTTTTATATTTCATCAGCTTTCTAATGAATTTGCTATTTGCTTCTGCATCTTTTAGACTAATGTGCCTCTCTATTGTACATGAATCCATGTATGAATTCTTATAAGCCTTGCATTTGAGAATGATTAAATAACTGTGATACTTATGTTTCTCTTGTATGTTAGAATATTGAGTGAATGTACACAACAAATTCATCTTTTCCTATGCTCCCCAATAACTCTTTTTGGTTTACTTTTGTAACCAAACATTTTAGTTTGCAACAATCAACTCCTTCAGGTGTCAATCCCACTGTGATAAGCGTATTCTGGAGGGCTTTTAAAAACTTTTATTACTAATGTTAATTGTTAAATTTATTATTACCATTGTGGAACTAAAAGTGTAAGAAATAATAAAGTATTATCTATAACTTTAAGAAACATCATTAACTTACCCAACTTTGCCAATTGAATCTCTTTGTATATTTGTTGTTGACACATTTCGACTGATTGATTCTTTGATTTTCATCAGGTGAGAAAAATTAAAGGAAATCTTTTTACTTTTCTGGACTAATGAAGTTTCCTTTTTTCCATGAAGGTTGAAAAATGGAAGGTCAAAATGTTGTCTTAACAGCAGAAATTTAAAGAAATGATTCGATTGTCTGAATAATGTTGCATAAATGAACAAAAATTTAAAAAAATTATTTTTATCAGGTATATGATAATTATATAATTTAGGTGTACGTTAATTGAAAAAAAATATTTCATATTTGAAAACAGTAATTTTCAGTCAAGTAGAAAATTAATATATACAGGTTTTGTCAGGTAAATCAAAAGAAATTCTAAAGGAGAAAAAATTTCCTGTATAAAAAAAAATCAAAATATTTTCAAAAAAATTTGTACAAATGTCTATACCTAGTACACTCTATATGTAGATTCATATAACTAAACCTTCATCAAGTAAAGATACTTTGTCTTTATCGTGTCCTTCATGAATGTAGCCACTTTATCATAAAGCATATTTAAGCTAAAAAAATGCAGCTTCAATATGTCATACGTTAAACCATTTTTGATTCTGGCTAGAAGATTTCAGGTACAGTTTGCTTTTGTATAATATAAACAATTTTAAGATAACTGGTAATGGTATTAAAATCACATTTTGTTTTTCTAAAGGTATCAGTAATGTGAATTGACAGATGCAAATAATTTCTTCAAATCATATGAACAGAACAGTAGCTACCCACCAATCTAATTTCATCTTGAACGTTGTTACATCTCCAGTTTTCAATTTGTTTTTTTTCTTTCATTCTGCTGAAGTTGCTACATTTTACCAGTTGCTGTTACTTTCATAAATTTTCTCATTTTTCATTCTCTCATGATTTTCATTCATTTCATGAATTGCTATGTTTAAAATGATTTTTATCTTCCCATTTTATTTTAAACCACCTTCTTTTTAATATAAAGATTACAATATTAGATACCCATTTTTAGTTTTTAAAGTTTTAAATTTTTATTTTAATTATTCCAAGATCATTTTGTGCTAAAGAGTTGTTTCCCTTGAGTCTTTTATTTTTACAATCATGCGTCATTTTAGAACGTATTGTTTCATTTCTGACAAAAGAAATATATTTTAAAAAATAACACACACATACGTTATAAAAAAAAGACAGTCAATTTTAATATAAAAATTCAATATTATGAATTACGTCCCCTGTTACAAACATTTTACTACTTCATGACCTTGCATTTTTAAAGCAGTTGCAGTTAATGTTTTTTAAGTATTTAATACTTAAAATACATTAACTGCAACTGCTTTAAAAATGCAAGGTCATGTATGTTTGTAACAAGGGACGTAATTCATAATAAAATAATAAAAAAAATAATTTGTGAGAATATGAAAAAGGATTAGTGCAGAGTTAACCTAACAGATAAGACCAGAACTTTAACTTGGTTTGCCAATTCCACTTAACAACTCTGTTATGCTAAAAAAAAAAAAAAGTTTAAGAAAGAAAATAGCTTTGAAAATTTTATTACATGAATGTCCAAATTTTTTTGCCATAAATGATTTATTTTTTTTTTTTTATGGATGAAATATTTGCATCCAGAAGTAATATAATGTTGGAGAGACATAGTTGTTATATGTGTTTGTTAAATATTAGTAAAAGCATCAATTTTTTTGTTTAATTTTTTTTTTGTTGAAATGCATTTTTTTTTTTTTTTTAACCTTTTTAAACTACAAATTGTATTATTGCATTATTTTAATGCAAATTTTTTTAGTAAAAATTATTTTTAACACCAGTTTTTCTTTTTCTTTTTCTTTTTTTTTACACACACAAACACTTTGTGTAAAACATTCTTAAAGAAAAAATATTAATAGAGGAATTAAGATTTTTCTCAAAGCAATTGCAACTGAAGTGGACTGGCCATGTCATCAGAATGAATGACAGAGGGATACCAAATGTCCCCTTGTACAGTCGAGAGATGTAAGCAGGCCATTGCTCAGGTTTGTAATCTTGTAGTTGTCAGCTTCTGTTATAAAACCTTTGAGCAGTTGGCTTTAGATTGCAAAGAGTGGATAGCTAATTGTTTCAGTGGCTTTGAAACTGGCTGACTTTAATGCCTGAAGGAAGCAACAACAGGTATTGTCATCATCATCAAACCCCTCACTTTTCATAATCATAATAATTTGTCAGCAAATCAATGTCAGAACTCAAATGTCATGTCTGCATAAACACTTGGCACTGATTAGGTGTTGCACACTCATACATCAAAAACCAATGGGAGAGTCTATCAATAGAATTGACACTATGGCTAATGTACAAGTGTAATGTTGGAAATTGTTCTAAGAAGGAAAAATATTTTTCTCTGGAGTGAAAAAACAAAATTTTATTAAATATTAAGAATTTTATTACTTTTGAGGATAAGAAGAAAATATCAAGTACAAACGTAAGATGACTTTGCAGTTGAAAAGGCTTAACAAGCAGACAGATGTTACTGGAAATCAACCTGACTCAAAGTTCAAAGAATTGTTTTATTTTTTGTTTTTTTTTTCTGCTGGCAATTCATTAGACAGCGTTTGATAGGCCAAAGGGGAAACATTTTGTAATCCTGTTTCAATGAAACCCTTTACACGTGTTACCAATTATTATCTCTCCAGTCTATTTATTTCTAAAGTTGCCAATACCACAGGCGATTATTACTTGTGACCGAACTGGACCAGTAAGGCAATGTTTCAAGCAAGGACTTTAACATCCCTTTGTCTGACCCCAAAACATTTGTTTAGAGTGATAACTCCATCATCATCCCATTCTGTGGATCTTTCAGCACAAATTGTTTGCAGATGGCATCGATGGAGTGACACCATAAAACTAGTCGAAGAGGCACTGCACACTATAGCTATATATGGTCACATTTTTTGTCATTAAAGATGAGAATTGTTATAGGTATCATGTAAAAATTAATGCATGAATAAAAATCAGACATGTCCAACAAAACAACCAACCCTGAGCCACACTAGGGCCGTAGAAACTTCTCCCTTACTTCATCATGTATATAAAACTATATTAAGAAATGGACAAGGTCCGACAATTTATTTATTAAAGACATTTTTTATGTTTAACGTTGTTATTCATAGATACAAGTATTTAAGCAAATGCTCTGTTTATGATAAACAGTATTAAATAACATTTACTGGCCTGAATGTCCGAGAAATTTTCATAGAAAATATTCGTTCTTTGACAGGATTCGAACCTGCATCCTATATGGAACCGTCATTTACGCTGACGTGCCTTACCTCTGGGCCACAAAGAACCTTTTCGGTAGACAAGGTCGAATTTACTGC